CAGACAGACAGACTTGCAACCCCAAAACATCAGCAGAACATCAGCAGCCAGGCTACAGCCTCACAAATCCGCCTCCAGCCCGATGGGAACATCCATACACATCCCACGGCTTCTTTGACGAAGCAATGAAAAAAGGCTCATTCTAATTTGTTGAGTGACAATCCAATTTTACAAGCAGGTATTTCAAAATCTTGGTGAGCTATTAGCAGCTAATGACTTCCAGTGACTACCAGCCTCATAACACAAGTACAGAAATTGTAAAAACTCAGAAAAATGGAACAATCTGGAGTCGAATGAAAGCCCATGGGGAGTAGAACCACTCAGAGCCTCCAAGGATAGGTCCCAGAGACAGGTTGGCTTAGCTGCCCAGTCACTCAGTCACCCCAAATTACTGAGTGCCTTTGCAAATTTGACTTTATTTTCACTGCATTCCAAGGTTCACCTGTGCAATCCAGGGACAATAATCCCTGACTTCAGAGAAAGGTAACGACTAATTCATGAAGCACTGAAATGTGAGGCAATCACAGGAATCATTCAAGCCTGGGACTAAAGGTTTGGATGGAACACAGTAAATAACCAGAACAAATAATGAAACTAAGACAATATATCGAAAAGCTTCTTCTATGCTGTGTCCACCCAGAAGATGCTACAGGACACCAATCTGGTGAAAAAAGTGTTACAACTTGCCATGAACGACTATATTCACGGATAAATAAGGAAGAGCTAAGGCTATACAGGCGAACTTAACTATGGCATTTCCTGATACTTAGGCCAAGACTTAAATATTATTACTCACCAAACAGAAGCTCTTGGGTCAGACTGTTATCATGTGCTTTACAATAATTAAAATACACACCTTTTTAATAGAAAAAGGTGCTCTCTTGTCACAGTAATAGAAGGGGAGAAACTTTGTGCCTGGACTAACGAGGAAGACTTCCAAAAAACTGAAGTTTAAATAAAACAAAACAGCTACCTTAGACAGGAAAGAAAAATAATCAGTGTTCTCAGGTTCCAAATTTTTTCTTTTTGTATACAAGTCTGTCAGGCAAAGCATCACATCAAAAAGATCTTTTAATTCATTAGTCTCCTTTTAAATATGTTTTTCCTAAAAATACAATGCGTTCTGTCTAAGAACATGCCAGCCTGGTGTAAGAGAATGACTTCTCCACACTCCTATATGCACATCACAAGATGTATTTGAACATGTATTTATAATCAGAAATATGTTAACACTATTACAGTACAGAGACACGATTATACGCCTGTTTGCTTTGAGATATCGCAGAAAGATGGTTTCTATTTGCAGCACCTATAGCTATTTCTAGCCAAATGTTCTACTGTATAAAACTGCGTTCTTCTCTATTACAAGGCATAAAAACTAACAAGGCAAACACAAAATCTCATACCCTACAAACAGTATAACTTTTGTCTAAACCAGCCCAGAAGTTGTAAATGCATAGCTGAAGGGATAAAAGCAAATAAAAACGGTAACTGTTGGCCCTCCCGGATTTAGGATTTCTTGCAGGTATATAACAAATAGAGGATTTGGGATTATTGTGTTAACCACAGTTTCGAACAAGCATCCACGATTAATTGTAGTAAGGACCAGCCTCAAGCACCAGCTCTCACCTTTATGCTTCCCCCAATGAGATCTGGCGGCTCTTCATCTGTTTCTAAGGCAACGTTGATGGAGGCAAAGGGGCGACTGGCCATCTGTTGCATCTCACGGAGCAGTTGCTAATTTAATAAAACAGAGAAGTTGTTATTATTAGTATTAGTAATTAGTATTTAGTATTATTACATTGTTCCAACACAGAGGTGAAAAAAACCACCTAGCTGAGAGGTTTCACCCAATAGGAAAGGATATCAATGAACATGGGAAAATAACCTCCTGGTGTTTTAACAGGCTTAGGGGTACAGAGAGATGATTGCAAATATTCAGATTACTACAACTTAACAGCTTACTGCAAGTCAAGCTACACACACAGTCTTAGCCTGACTTGTTTGTGAGGGAAAATGCATCTGCTTAAGACTTCATAAAGCATTTATTATTTTTTAAGCTGTGATACCCTAGTTGTTTGTCATCACCTGTCTGGGGCATGACAGGACTCCATAGGATTTGTGGGAACCCTTTTAAAATCAAACTAGCAGCAGTGTGTAACCACTGTAAGAATGAATTTTATATTTTTTATAAAAGGAGCAAAATGCTGTCAGGTGGCCTACTGAATAATCATCTTTTTTTATTGTTTGTTTCCTTTCTGAATGCAGAAAATGTATCAAATGGCAAGCATGTCCTTGTTGCAACATGTTTTAATACAATAGAAAACCTTTTCCCGGGTAAATATCTGGAAGCCTTCATGACACAAGACATCTTTTTATTGTACGCTTAAGTGCTTCTAAGCATTATGATGCAGCTCCCTTTTTTTAACACCAAAAAAAGACATTTCCTATCCGGCTGGGCTGGAAACAGCATTTCAGTTTTAGCTGAGCTGTGGACACACTTCTTTTTGGCTTCAAAGGTTAATTTTGAATACTAAGAGCAAGCTGCACAACCTGTAAGTGGATGCAGAAGCCATAACCCTAATTCCCAGGGGCAATGGGTCTGACGTGACTCGGTGCCCCTATTTAATAAGGGAAGAGGCATACACTTCGTAAAGCATGTAAAAACTCAGCAGTCTCACCCTTAAGTGCAGCAACTGCCTAAAACCCACTTGTTGTACGCAGCTTTCCACATTTAGCATTACTACTTAGCTGCAGCAATACTAGTTATACTCTATTTTCAAGCTAGATTGAGGCACCACCAAGTGCCCTCTATACTTCCCGCCATCACCACCCGCATTTCACCATGAATTCTCAGCAATTTGACACTCCAAGCCCTAACTCATCATTTACAGCACTCAAAAAGTGCTAAAGAAAACACCAGAAAATGCATCGTGCCCCAAATAACCCCCATCCAGCAGAGCAGAAGGGGACACGGCACACCGGTGAAAGCAAGATGCTGCTACCCAGCGCGCAACTCGTTTGGACCAAACCGATTACCTCACCATTTTCTTTAACTTATAAATCTTCTACCGTCTTTTCTTTGCCAAGCCATCTTTTAGTTTTGGGGTTTTTTTTTGTGCAGAAAACTGGAAGACCGTCTCTGTAAGCTTGGGGTTCAGGAAAGGTGGCAGGAAGGTATGATGGGATTGATGCAACTAAGCTTGGGGGGGGTATATAAGCCTGTATGGTTCTTATTTAATAAAAATTTGTAAAATTTTACTGCCATAAAAGGCAAGGGGCAAAGTTTTGCTTACTTTCTGAAGCGGGGTGGGTGGGGAAAAAAGGGGGAAAAAAAAAAAAAGGGTATTTTGGAGCAGATTGTAGATACTGTCACAAAGCAAAAACAACCCCAACAAATTCACACAAACGGAGCTGTACTAAGCATTTGCAAGCAAACTTGTGTGTAACTCACGCTTGGGTAAAAGAACGCGAGGAGTTTTCGAATATTTAAAGCACACCAGCAGATTGCAGACTACAGCAAGTGTGAAACAGATTGCTCGGTTGTTGTTCCTGCAGTTGTCCCCTTCAGCTATCATAAAGCGCTTTGTTTAATGGCTATAAAATCAAAGAACAAGCTGTCCTGATGAAGATGTCCAAGAGACTTACGAACTAAAAGCTATTAGCTCTTTGAAGGAAGTTTAGTTTAATAAAGAAAATGTGCAATTTGGCAACACGACTCCTATTGAAGTTAGTAGTAGCTTCAAGAAATAAAACCTTGAGCAGCGCTGCAAAGGCAGAGACGTGCTACAACACGAGCGGTGGGAAAAGCAGTGCTGACAGCAACGTTATTGTCTTCGTTTTCTGATCTGGCCAAGCAAAGCCATCGCTTTTGGGGCTGTCCCAAAGCGAGCTGACACTCAACAGCAGCCAAACCAGGTAAAACCAAGGGTCCGAGCTGCGACCAAAGGAGCAAATGCCTAAGGGAACATCCTTTTCCTAACACCAGTTTCTGGTGTAGCACAAGTCATGTTGCAAAATTCCCCTCCCTCTCTCCAAATTAAGAATAAATTTGGGAATTAATTGTTCTGTAACCAGAATGTCACGTTTGCCCCCAAGACATGCACTGTGCATGTTTAACCTGTGCACATATATATCCTTCAATATTTGGTGTGTCAAAATTTTAATTAAAAGATTTTATTACGTTGTAAGGGAGAAATTGTGGCATTTCCCCAGCCAAGACACTGAGCACGTCATTAGAAATCAGCAGCAGTTAACATCAAGATACCCCAGAACCTGGCTTACCCTCACTCCTAATGATTAGCTTTCTGAGATTTAAAATAATGAACCTCAATATTCTTTCAAGCAAACCTTTGGTTTCTAGATCACACAATTAATAGGACAACCTGGGAATATAAATCACTTAGGTCTGCAGAGGATTTTAAAGGAAAAACGTCTGACAGGCTTACAATAAAAACACATCAAAAAGCATGTATTGGAACACACCACTGGCCTTTAATATTTAAGTAACTGCAAACTGTGAGAACCTGCACAACCTTCATTTGCATTGATTTTTTTTCTTTTTCCCCACTATCAGTAGAAAAACTCCTTTCAAAAAAATCACAAGTTAAAGCAATTGCAGAAGGGGAAGTGTTGAAACGATGCCTGAAGGTTTTGGTGGAACCAGACACTAAGAGAACCCAACAATGAACAAACTCAACAGACTGCCTATGGCGGAAGAGAAGAACAGCAGGGAGGATGGGAGACCAGCGAGGTTGCTCATCTCATAGAGCCCAGGACTAGATGTGCAGATCCAGGAGTGAACAGTGCAGAAATGCAGGGTTTCATACCAATGATTCTTTAAATTCGTACATGTTGAGTAATGGATAATCCAAAACTAATCGAGTGTTACTGATGGGAGAAAAACCGCCAGAGGAATTGAGGAAAACCTTCTCATGCAGTAGCACAGGCTCTCACACAGAAGAAAAACAGCTATTCAGGTGACCAGGTTAATTGACTAATATAACCTTACGCTGTGTTTTCTGACAAGAAAAACTCAGACGTTTTATTTACGATAATAAAGCCATCACCGGTCTCTGTATAACCATCCTGCTACCATCCATCTCAGCAATTGCCCCCTGCAGAGTCTCTTTCATGAGCACAGGGCTACAGTACCTTTTGGGATGGGGCTCTGATATTTTCAGCCATGAAAGGATGTCAATTTTTCCAGAAGAAAGCCAGATGTTTTGGATTTTATTTGCTCCTTATAAAGAGTGGCTTTTAAAAAAAGCTAAGCAAAACAGCTATCTAGAACTTGTAATGAACTCAAGTTTTTACATGAGTATTTCATCTCAATTTTCAACAGAGATGAGAAGGAAAAAAGTAGAAACTCAAGGAGGAAAAAACCATGGGTGTGCTAAGTGAATGGGCACGGATGAGCTTTCATTTTAAGATAAAGTGAAAACAAAGCAAGCAGGAGCCCACAGGAGAGGGAGCACGACGTATTCAGGCAGGGTATCAGCAGGGACAGCTGGTACTATTACACCAGTCTACGGTCAAAGGAGGTGAACTTTAAAAAGGGGAGCCAGAAAAGAGCAACAGTCTTAGCAAAAGTTCTTTTACTTTGATGAAACAAGTACAATTAAAGGTCATCCTCTGAGGATTCATATTACAGCCTATGAGGTTGTAATTTTGGGATGGTGCTCTACAGCTAAGGGTATGATCAACCTCCTGCCGAACTGGGTCTCTACTCCCAGATTTCTGTACCATCATGGAAAAAATCAAGCTCCACTCTCTTATGAACAAGCAAAATCACCAGCTGTGTTCTCTATGCTGTCCACAGCCAACACAAAAAAACAGGATGCTCTGAAATCAGCTGTGTGTTTTGAACCACTTTGAACCATACCTTGCCTGTATTGCAAAGATAAACTGGTCCAATGGGCCAAGTCCCAGAGACCTCACAAACAACAGCGAGTCTAAAGAAAGTAACAGCTCATGGTAAGAAAAGAAAGTGTCATGGTAAGAAAAGAAAGATGAAGACAAGGAAACAAACTGATTTATACTCTAGTTGTTTAAGACATTTAGGAAAAAAAAAAAAAGATTTTGGGACAGAACAGAGTATTTGGGATTTTCCTGTATCAAGCTGAAGTGTCCAGCTCTACTATGCAGAGCATAAACACAGAACAACACAGAATCATTAAGGTTGGAAAAGACCTGTAAGATCATCAAGTCCAACCATCAACCCAACACCACCATGCCCACTAAAACATGCCCCGAACTGCCACGTCCACACGTTTTTTGAACACTTCCAGAGGTGGCGACTCCACCACCTCCCTGGGCAGCCTGTGCCAATGCCTGACCACCCTCTCAGTGAAGAAATTTTTTCTACTATCCAATCTAAACCTCCCCTGGCACAACTGGAGGCCGCTTCCTCTTGTCCTATCGCTGGTTACTTGGGAGAAGAGACCAACCCCCACCTCACCACAACCCCCTTTCAGGTAGCTGTAGAGAGCGATGAGGGCTCCCCTCAGCCTCCTCTTCTCCAGACTGAACACCCCCAGTTCCCTCAGCTGCTCCTCATCAGACTTGTGCTCCAGACCCCTCACCAGCTCCGTTGCCCTTCTCTGGACACGCTCCAGCGCCTCAACGTCCTTCTTGTCGTTGAGAGGCCCAAAACTGAACACAGGATTCGAGGTGCGGCCTCACCAGTGCCCAGTCCAGGGGCATGATCCCTGCCGTACTTCCCTACCATAAT